CCCCCACACACACACAACACTCTGTTGTATTGTTACATGCGCAACAACTGTCCGTGCATACTGAAAATATGTGGCCTTATTTTGGGGAAACCGAGTCCAACTATGACATGATCATTTGTGAAGACAATTACCCGGCCAGCACTTGACGTCACGAGTTATTTCTAACCATTAATTTTGCACAGAAACCAACCACAGATTAAGAAGTATGATCACATTGACTATTTCATGGAACTCAGGTCACTTCAAACTGACATTTATGAACACTAAACAGCGCTGGTTAGCGCAACCATTCTCCAATCTAATTTTTTTTTTTTTTTTTTTTGTAGTTGAACTTTGTTCAAGGTCAATCTACGGTGTGTTCGAAAAGGTCCGGGACAGGTGTCACAAAAACAAAACTGAGCTTTTCCCTCCACGAGCGCCAGAAAAACAACCACCACATCGACAAAAGCGTTCCCGCGCTGTTCACTTGGTTCGCCCCGCGAGAAGAGGTGAGGCAAGACTCGCGGTCGCCTCCCCGTGACAACGCACCTGCACGCTTTGTCCTGAGCACCCAGCAGCTCCTGGCCAAGAAGAACACGCCGGACGAACCTCCCCGGTTTCCCGTTTCCCAAGCTCCAAGGGGTCGTCAAGCAGACCACTTTGAAGACTCTCCTGCTCTCTTGTAAGTTATCAATACTTTCTATTAATTGTGGCCATGGAGGACACTTTACTCAGACATGAAGGATGAACTGGAAAGCCACCACGAGGTCCCGCGACGTGCTTAGCTGCGGTTGTCAGGATGCGGGAACCGTAGCGAACGAGTTAGAAATGTGGACGCAAATATCACGAGAATGTTTCGACTTGTTTCCAAAAAAAAAAAACAAAAAAAAAAAAAAACGCACCGGGCGCTATCGGCATTTACAATTCGATGTGAACTCAATCCATCGCCGTAGCGAAAGATCCAATGGGCTCCTTTAGTATTTGTAGACCGTTGGACTGCGTGTTTCAAATATCAGGCAAAGTATTAGCCATCATGTCGATGCGCGACGTTAGTATACAGAGTGAGAGTAGAAAGAGCCGCTTGCATGTTTCGGTTTGGATTGTGATTTGGTCCTTTTAGCTCAGCAGTTCAAGGTAGGTGACGGGGACCTTTCCCTTTTCATTGCCTCGTTCGCCAACCAGCCAATCGGGATCCATTCCGGGTACGGTGTAGACGGTAATAAGCTGAAACGTGACCAAAAGCAAAAGGGAGATAATTTATTCCACAATACGGGCTGCCAATCATATTCAAAGAGTTTGATGAGCTGCCATCTACCATCCTGTATTATTTAGTCTCAATTTTTGTTGTCTGAATAATTCCACAAAAACGTTCTTAGCGCCAAAGTTCCCCAAGTCCCGTTCCTAAATTTCAATGCAACAAACCAACGAAAATGAAAAGGGCGAGTTTAAATCGACCCGGGCTAGTGCCATTTCCGCTTATGTATGCAATGATTGACAAACGTACCTCATCAGCCAAGAGGGACAGCTCACTTGAATCGTGAGCGTCGTAGTCGTACAGGACTTTGGCCTTTCTGGTGCCTGTAATAGGAAGCTGCGTTTGTTCCACGAGCAGCGTTTTGGCCTTAGTGCCGGAAGAGGTGGGCACTACGGTACCAGGTGACGGTGGTCCAGATGGGAACGCAGCAGACACGGGGTTGGGACAGGCGGCAGACTGCTGGGGGGTCCCCACCGCATTAGCACATCTGCATGAAGAGCGTGGACAATTTGTTTTCCCAAGTTCAGTCAATAGAAAGGACAGTAACTTCTTGGGAAACATCATTGCCGTAATAAAGGTCACTCTCACGATGTTGGAATTGTCTTTTGCGCTCACCTGTTGAGTTCCCTCTGGAGCTCATGCATGAAGTGATGACACTGAGCATAATAGGTGGCCTGAGCTTCCGCAAAATCCTGCAAACAACGCTGATGGTTCAGCTTTGGACAAAGAGCAGAGCGTCAAAAGAGCCGGCCAAATGATTGACCATTATTTACAGTCGCAGCATTCGACCCTCACACGAAAACAACGCACGTCAAAGGAGCGCTTCTTGTGAAATCACTCTTAGCTGAGGCTGTACATCCAATATTGCATCTTTGGGGTGTTCTACACAGTCGCGCAGTCGTGTGCGAGTCATGATTAATACTTGAGCGCTTACATGGGTGCTGCTGATGCCCTCAAGCAGCAGCCGGGTGACTTCAGCTTGTCGGTCAAACTCGGTTTGGGCGACTCGCAGCTCGTGCTCCGCCTGCACACGGAGCAGGAAGAATTGAGACACCGTATTTGTCATTAGTGGTAAACAACACGTACTTAAATTTTGTGTTGTATTGATGGGCAAAGGAGCTGTGAAAGTCTCACTTACTTTGTCCACTTCCTCACTCAGCAGCTGAGAGAGTAGAAAGCAAAAAACGTTCTCAGCAACACCACATCAACTTAACAATGGAAATGTCGATGCACCGCACATCTAAAACAATTAGGGGAAACTATAAAAAGGAGGACTATGGAATGTAGAATTTTAAGTCTTTCAAATCTTTTCCTGACATATTATAGCCTCGGCCCGTTTGGTACCGGTCCGCACAGAGACACGCCTGCGAGCTGTGAGCAAATCGACAGACGTGGAGGGAAACGTGCGCGACTCTCGCCAATCGGAGTCCCTCTTTCTGACATTGGCTTGCAAGTGAACAGATTTTGCCGAGAAAGGAAAGAAGAAGCCAGTACACAGACAGATGTAGTAACAAATTGACGAAACGCGCAGCTGACGGGCATCCGTGACTTTCGAAGATGAAGCGATTTTGACAAGAGAATTACTCCCCTAGCGATGTGGACGAAGAAGCTGTGGTGCATGCTACGTCGTCCAAAAACAGACAATACAAGAAACCTGTTGAAGCATTTGAACAAGTAGCACGTAAGTGATCAAGTGGGAAGGGTGAAAATGCGAGCACAGTTTGCACAGTTTGACCACGTAAACGTGAGCAGTATAGTCGCGAAGAACTTGCATGAAAGCAGCAATCACTCGTGTCGTCTTTTGATCGGTCACGTTTGCAAGTAGCAAGGATGCTAACGCCGTATGACGGATGATAACTTCCAAAATATTATGTTTACATTATAAGGCGTATTTATTATTCCTGATTGGGCAATTTCTTAGTAGTTCGCTGCGTTATTTTATTTTACATTTGTTGTGCAGTAGTGTTTGAAATGAATGAAAATAAAATCTATGTTCATCAAATGTTTAAAAATCTTTGTTGTACTAATTCAGTGCGCCAAAGATGACGGTGACTACAGGTGACCTCCGGTTTGATGAGGGACGGAACCAAGCACGTCATTGTCCAAATACTGTACACAAAACAGGGTTTACATTTCTACAAAAATGTCAGCTAGAGCTAGAATCAACACATGACACATCAGACTAAAGGCCCATGTTTCCAACCTTTTGCTGCTCTGATATATTAGGAGGCTCTGCCTCCATATCCCAACTCTCCCAGCCGCTCTGTATCTAATTCAGTTATAAAACAAGGAAAAGAAAGAAACAAACTAAAAGAAGTAACATTTGATGGTATCACAAAATGTATATTTTATGCCAAGGGTGTCCAAACATTTTCATTTGAGGGCCTCGCACAGAAAAATGAAAAGGTGAAAAGGCCACTTTCAAATTCAACTTTTTGAAAAAGTCAAGGAAGCAATTCTATGTTGTTTGTTTGATTACCTTTCTGTGAAAAGTGTTAAGGAACACAGTTTGCGATTTTTACACGTTTTTTCCCATCTCCACATTCAGAACCAAAAAAAAAAAAGAACAAACAGTAGTAAAGTGACCATTTTTCAATCAGTTAAATAAGGATCTTTCGTGTGATATCCTCATAAATACGATATATTTAAATACAAAATAAAGATATAATACTAGTAATAAAACACCACCAATAAATACTAACAAAGAAAACACTTCAATTAAAAACACAACCGAACCAAGAAAAACCTAAATACAGTCGATGTCATGTGTGTGGTGCACAACCATTTCCGGCCCTGGAGGAGGCATGCATGTAGAAGCATTCATTTTAACATGCATGTGCTCAAACCACAAACGAGACAAAAAACAAACAAACAATAAACCATCAAGTCCCACGTAGCTAAAGCGTATTAGCTCCCACTATCGAGTGTGTGGCCCGTGTCTGTACCAGTGGTTCTGCTTGTGATTCTTACCGCTGATGCACTGGCGGAAAGAACATAATTTCGAGGCCTTGTCTCCTGAAAATCGGGTGCAGCCTACAAACAACGAGAGCAGGGAGGAGGGAACAAACATTGGCAAAGTCGTGCGTTTTCAGTCATTAGTGAAGCAAAACAACTTCGCCGACGAAAGCATCATATGTGCAGGGGAAAACCGCCCCCCAAAACTTGTGACCAACATTGTGCGCCA